AAAAATGGGAATACCTACCTGTAGGGAAAATATAGGAAAATGGTCAAAGCCCCTCAGATGTTCAGAATCTTGCCAAGCATTTGATGTAAAGACGCATGTACGCCCAGGTGTTCCTTGGCTATTGTCTGATGTAATTGCATGTGTGCGTCCAAGGTGTCCTGGGTTATTGACTTAAGTATAAAGAGGGAGTGGCTCTGATCCACAGGGCCCCCTGCCCCGGGGATGCCCGGGGAGGGTGGGTTATGGGGAGGCCGCTACTGCTGCTGGAGGCTATTGCTGCCAGTGCTCCCAGGATGCCCCGAGAGGTTGCTGCTGCTGTTACTACTGAGGACTGAGGACTGAGCTCATATCATCTGCCAATGGCTCCTGGGATCTTTCCCAATTACCTAGCATAGGCCTGCACGTGAAGGGCTTATGGGCCAGTCTGTACAACGGGCTTGAGGGGGCTGTTGGGAAAATATAGGAAAAATGGTCAGGGCCCCTCAGATGTTCAGAATCTTGCCGAGCATTTGATGTACACAGGCATATGCACTCAGGTGTTCCTTGGTTATCATCTAGTGTAACTGCGCATGTGCACCCAGGTGTCCTGGGTTATGGACTTAAGTATAAGGATGAGTGGCTCTGATCCATGGCGCCTCCCAGCCCTGGGATGCTTGTACTGCTGCTAGTGCCCCCGAGACCCTCTGCAAGGCCACTGCCGGACCTGTAAGCTGCTGCAGCTGAGGCCTGAGCTCATCTTGTCATCTGCCAACAGCTCCTGGAATCTTTCCCAGTTACCTAGCATGGACCTGCGTGTGAGGGTTCTGGTGACCCAGTCTGTACAGGGGGTTTGGAAGGTCTGAGCCCTAGCTCTGACAATATAAATGGAAACTTAGTATAACTAAAATAATGAAACATTTCGGCATTAGTTATGATTTGCCTTACTTTACAGGGTCTGTGAGCCCTAGCCCTGACAATACAAATGGAAACTTGGTATAACTAAAATGATGAAACGTCTTGGCTTTAGTTATGAATGGCTTTAACAATACTATGGCCCTAACCAGACAATTGGTGTGGTCGTGTAGCTTTACACTACCTCATGACACTTGTAGTGAAAATCAGATGAGATAATGAATTACAGGATCTGGTGAGTGCTAGAGAGGAGCAGATAGTAGCTGATGTTTTTATTATTCACTCAGTAAACATCCCTTCAGGGCCTGCACCATGCCAGGCACTGTTCTAGACACTGGGACAATGGCTAAGGTCAGCCGGGGGTAGGTTTTGGGGACACTCATCTGGGCTTCTGAGGCCTAGCTTCCAAATGCAGAGCAGGATGTGCTCTGTAGACCCAGAGAAGAGAACCAAGCTTCTGATCTCTCGGTTTCCCACCCTCCAGTCCATCCTCCAAGCTGCTGCAGCTGCCATGCAAGCCCATTCTCCTGTGAGGCTTGCAAGGTCCCTCTGATCTGGTTCCCCACTTGCTTCCTATCACCTTCCCGTGGCCGTGCACCGGTCAGAATGGGGATGCCACAGAGCGTCTGGATACTGAGCATGTACTGTGTGGCAGGGACCACACCAGGAACTACACACAGCCTTTCATTTAACCCTCTCAACACCAAGGTCATGAATTCAGATCCCTTTATCCGCCAGCTGCCAAAACAAAATAAAAAACACAAAAGTAACCCTCTCAACAACTTTATGATGTAAGGACTATATTAGCCCCATTTCCCAAATGAGGAAGCTGTGTCTTAGAGATGTTAAGTAAAAATTACACAACTGTTAAATAGCAGAACTGGGACTGGAATGTAGGTCTATCTGAATCCAAAGCCAGTAGTCTTGACTATTATTTTATATTAGCCTCAACTTTATTATTTTTTTTTTGGCAGCTGGCCGTTACAGCAATCTGAACTGGCCTCAACTTTCAAACTCCACATTTATTCTTTCCAAATATGCTATGAACTTCTAAGCCTCTGTGCCTCTGCTTGTGCTGTTTCCTCTACCTGGAATGCCTTCCCCATCTTCTCTCCCTTGCCTTCTTGATACACTTCACTCACCCTGCAATGCCCAGTTCACATGTTACTGCATCCTGGTGCCTCCAGACAGAATTCATTGTTCTCTCACTGAGGCTCCCATAATGCTTTACATACTCATATTCCATTTTAGCATCCACTCACTTATCCCACAATATTTATCAAGTACCTACTTTGGGCCAGGCACTGGGCTAGATGCTGGGAGTCGTTGAAGAAACTAGTTAGACACGCTATTACATGAAGACATTTAACATTTCCCATTAGTAGTTGTGTCTGTGGTTTCTCTACCCCTCACTGCTGTACTCATAAACCCAGCAGCAAACATAAACTAGGTGTTCAATCGATCCCATGGATGAATTAACAACGGTATCTGTATCTCCTCCCAACTATGTGCTGATTCACTGCTGAATTTGTATCCACAATGCCTGACACACTATTGGGTGACTCATATATGCTTCTCACTATAGCTGCTGAATTACTGAATGCATTATGGATAGGAATTTGGGAGCAAAAACCACTGAGTCCTACTGCAATTTCCATGTGGGGTATGATTTCAGGAGTATTTTCTAGCCACCCACATGATATGTCCATTGTGGGATCACTGCCCATGGGGAGAGCTGAGCTACGGTGGAAAAAGCACATGACTTGGAATCAAACAGACCCAGGTCTGCCGCCTCACAGATTCAGTAAACTTAGCCTCTCTGACACTATAGTCCCATTAGCAAAATGGGAATAAATAATATCTATGTATATGAAAGTGCCTTGTGGTGGTTCTAGTCCAGAAATAGATACTGAACACGTGTTAATTACCTTTCTTTTAGCCCAACATATTTCTCAACCTTTTAAAAACTTATGCCTTTTATTTATTTACTTATATTTTTATTTATTTATCTTTATATTTAAAATTAAATTAAAGAGCTGGATGGCTAGCTCAGTTGGTTAGAGCATGGTTCTAATAAGACCAGTGTCAAAGGTTTGACACCCGTAGGGGCTAGCCACCAACAAAAAAAGAAAAGAAAAAAATTAAATCTTAATTTTAATCTTTTTCTTATGGAAAAAATTTCAGTCATATATAAAAGTAGAGAGACTCATATACTGAACCCTCATATACCCACTATTCAGCTTCAACAATTATCAGCTCATGGGCAATCTTAAACTCTATGCCCTTTTGATAAACATAAAACTCTCACTTTCCTCCCTTTTACTTTCCCTCCAGATTCCAACGCCTTCATCCAACCCTTCCAGCAAAGAATTATGCCAAGTTAACCAAGTTAAGAGCCTTTGTCTTAGTAGAATCCCCAGCAGTATTTTGTTCTCCTTTACCTTCTGCAGTCTGTATAATGAAATCAATAGGTTCTCTTCACTTTCCACATAAAAATAAAACCGAGGGGCCAGCCCGTGGCTCACTCGGGAGAGTGTGGTGCTGATAACACCAAGGCCATGGGTTCGGATCCCATATAGGGATGGCCCGTTCGCTCACTTCGTAGAGTGTGGTGCTGATAACAAGTCAAGGGTTAGGATCCCCTTACCGGTCATCTTTTAAAGAAAAATAAATAAAACTAAACACTAAACGTCCTTGTTCAGAGTACACATGAATTCCAGATTATGCTGAGCCATAGGAAAAATGTCCCTTCTGTGTTCTCTCCTCTGCCCCCAACTCTCTGTCTGCTGGGGTGATATGCTTACCTTGTACTCCCCGTCCCCATGCAAATCCGCCAGCGCTGGAAAACACAAAAGGGCCACAAACCAGGGTCTCAGAATCCCAAAGGCTACGGGACCATTATCTGACTCCCCTATAACCCCAGAACCCAGGGTTCTTGGTTCCAGAGACTCACCCAGGCAGGCTGAAAAGGTGTGGATGTTGGCCATGGGGTCGTAGTGTGCATCCAGCCATTTCGAATTGGCCTCATCGCTGGGAGGTGGGGGAAGAGTTGAGGATTGAGTTACACGGGAGGGAAAGGAAACTTTGAGGGAGCTGGTGTCTGAAAGTGAGGTGTGTACGGGGCTCTGAACTGGGGCTACAGAACGTCTGGGTCCAAGTCCAGGCTCCGCCACTGGTGCACAGAGTGACCTCGAGTCAGACACACACACGCGCTCTTTGGGCCTCGGTTTTCCTATCTGACCTCTGAGAGCCCTTCAAGGCCTGCCGGCGCTGCCCGGGAACTGCAGGAGCCCAGAGCCCGGGGACCAGGACACCCTCGTTACACAGTTGGGAAAGGAGGCCTTGAAGACCCCTGCCTTCACCTCTCAGCTCGTCGGCCGTCGGAATCCGATGAAGACGCCGCAGCCATCTTCGCAGGCGTCGTCCAGGCAACGGCCCCCGCCCCCGCTGCCGCGCAACGCCCAATCACGCCCGGGTGCGGGGAAGCGCGCGTTCAAAGGTTCCGGGCGCGAAGTTTTCCGGGCCAAGCCCAGAAGACCCCATGCAGGATGCGCAGGCCACCTTGCTGGGTTCAGCCGGCCGTGGCGCACCCCCTCATCCCAGCTCATGTGATTTGATTTATCTTCGCTCCTTCCCAGTCGGAGCCACCTTTCCAGGTTTCTGGGCCCTACAAATCACTGGGTGAGCAACAGGGCCCTCCGGGTTCGTGGCCTGGGGAGGAGCCCGTTCTAGCGTTTCTGGGCAGCAAAACGAAAGCCCTCCTGTCTTCGTCTTCATGGTTAACCCTGCTGAAAGGGGCCATGTCCTTTTTTGCTGCCTTACTGTAGAGGTCCAGGCTCAGAGAAACAAAACAGGAAGATTAAGGGGCAACGCAGAGGATTCTGAGTGAAGTTGAGGGTTTCCAGTTTTAGGTTCCCGGAATACTTCAAAATGCGAGAAAAGCCACGAAGGAGAGCTGCAGATTGTGCTATGTTAAAGTCTCTGACTCTGTATTCTCATTTAGAGATGATGTCAAAATCTTGTTGTGAATGGGAGGCTGAAAATGACCCTCCTGTCCCCTCCCCAGTCCTGCCAGGAACCAGTAGGACGAATCACACACATGCAAAGATAGTGGTTTTTTCTAATGTTTATTTTCCTGGTTGTAAAAGTAGCACATGAAGAGCATTGGGTTTGGTGAGAACGTTTTGAGCCCTGACTCTGTCACATACCACCTGTAGGATAACATACCACTAGTCACTTCTCAGAAATGCCACTTCCTCATCTGGGAAACAGGATAAGGGGTCCTACCTTGCTCACTCTATAGATGGCAGTACAGAGCAAATGAGATAACAGAGGGGAAGCACTTGGTAAATTGGAAAGTGCTGACAAATATAAGGGGTTAGTGTCACCACCCTCAGCTGAGGTAGCACCAAAGTCTGAGCTCCTGCCCCTCCCCTAGCCCCTAAATATACACACAAATGGAGGGTGACTTGTAGTTTTGGTTTGATGGAGTGGGGGGAGAGGCCACACAAATTTTCCTCAGGCCTGGCCAGCTGGGACCTCATTGGGGCCCTTCCAGAATCGGGCATCAGCTGTGGCCAGCTGGGTGAGGATCTCCTCCAACTCCGGCCCATCCTCTGGGAAGCGCTCGGAAAAGGATTGGATGAGGCCGGCAGCAGAGGCTTCATACTCAAGAAGCTGCACTTCTGAGCCTGGGGAGAAGACGGAGAGAAAACAGCAGCTGAAAAATGGGGATATTAACCATTCCTCATGGGTTGTTGGGAGTTGATCCATGGAAAGTTTTTACCCAGTGCCTGGCACATGAAAGTCCTCAAAAGTTAGCTATCATCGTCATCATCACCACTGTTTTTTTAAAATCCCACCTGTTCTTCAGGTCTAGTTTAACCAGCACTTCCTTCCGAGAATCTTCCAGGATCCTCTGGAAGATAGATGCGATCTTCCCTCCTCTTAAGAGTTCAGAGCACTGTTTATATCTTTTGAGCACTCACTAATGCTTCTCTTGTATGATTATCTATCTCCATGTCTTATCATTCCCAATGGGCTGTGAACTACTTGAGGGCAAGGCCTGGGTCCCCTTCATCTCTGGATCCCCAGTGACTCCTCAATGGCTCACACAGGGCTGGACATGTCAAAGCAATGGTGATATTGTCCACGTGGCCAGCATGACTTGTTAATTCACGCATTTGACAGACACTGAGCAGCTCCCGTGGGCCAGGCCCTTGCTGGATGCTGGGATGTGCTGTTCCTACTATCATGGAGACAGGACTCACAAGAAAATGACCCAGCATGATGGGCACATGAGGAAAATGAAGCTGGTGAGAGAACAGAGAAGGACTGAAGGGGTTAATTTAGGTGGAGGGGTCAGGGACAGCCTCTTTGAGAAGGTGTCATTTAACAGGGACCTGGATGATGAGAACTGAGAACAACTATAGCGGCAAAGAGCTGGGGGGAAATGGTGCCAAGCAGAGGGAACAGCCTGTCCAAAGGCTCAAGAGCTCAGGGGGCTGCAGAAATGAAGGGGACCGGGTGCCTGGAGTGCAATGAGTCAGGAAGAGGGGTCACTGAGGCTGGGGCCAAATCTCAGGGAACCTCTGGAGGGCATGGGAAAGAGTTTGAAATTCACCTCTTAATAAATTTTTTTTTTTTACCAATAATAGGTAATGACTTTTTACAATTTTTTTTTTGTGGCTGGCCGGTACAGGGATGGAAACTTGGACCGTGGTATTTATAGCACCACATTCTAACCAACTGAGCTAACTGGCCAGCCTGATATTGACTATTTATTTATTTTTTTAGCGGCTAGCCAGTACAGGGATCCAAACCCTTGACCTTGGTGTTACAACATGGCACTCTCAGCAAGTGAGCTAGCCAGCCAGCCCATTATTCCATTTAACTCTCACAGCTGCCCGTGACGTATGGAGGTGAGCAATACATGCTCTTAATCTGACTCTTGGCTCCTCCAGTAAAAAGGTAGAAGCCTTGTGCAAATTACTCCCTGTGCCTCAGTTTCCTTATCTGTAAAATGGGGATAACGAAACACCTACCTCATTGGGTTACTGTGAGGATTAAAAGGTTAATCCACAGAAAGCACTTAGAACTTGAAGGAAGTACTTCAGCTTCACTATAATATCAGCACACAATCAACACTGGCTTTATGAATGAAGACACCAAAGCACAGAAAAATTAGGTGACTACACCAATGTCACAGGGTGGATCTGAAGCTGGTGCTCTAACCACTCCACGGCACCACCTCATCTTAGGTGCCTCAAGTGACAGGTGTCAGGAAAGATGAGTCAAGGGGTGACAGGGAAGTGAACACAGGCACTGGAACCCCAAGGGCTTTTAATACAAAAGGTACAAGCTCCATGCAGACAGGGTCAGGGCTTTTGGAAGTGCAATTGTCACCCAAGAAGGGAGAGGGACAATGGAGCTATTGATCTTCCTCATAGACGTAGCTGAGTCACACTGTCCCTGGGTTCCACTCAGTTTGCAGGATCCCACCTCCCTGCCTGAGCAGACCTAGAGCCTGGGCACCCAACAGGTCTAATTCTCTGGTACCCTGCCTGGCCTCCCCATAAGCCTAGTGTCTGTCTGCTCCGCTAGCCCCTGCTTTGCCTGCCTTCCTCAAACCCGCGGCTTACGACCTGCACGATGCTCTGCGTGTGTGTGGGTGGGTGGGTGGGTGGGTGGTGGTGGTGATGGTAGAAGCCAAAGTTTTGGCCTGAGGTTTGGCATGGGAAGGACTGTGGCAGGGAGGGACCCAGGTAGCCTTCCCTGAGTCCATAATGTGTCCTTTGTGCTCCCATTGGCCCTGCATGACCCCCCATCAGAGGGGGCTTAAGAGTCCATTACCTTCGAGGCGAGTGTTGGGCTGAACGATGAGCTTCCGAGATTCCTTGCGCAGCAGCACCGTGTCCCTGAGGGTGAGGAAGCACTCGGGGGGCGCATCAGTGACTGCTGCGTACCCCTCGTACAGGGCCCGCCCTCCGGCCACATCCCCTGTGGACTTCAGCACCTGTGGGAAGGAAGAAGCATCTGGGGTGCAGATGCTCACCCTGCATCCTCAGGGCCCTGTCAGGGGCCACAGCCGATTGTTCCCAGCCCTGGATGGTCTGTGCTATGCTTTGAATGTGTCCCCTCCAAAATTCAGGTGTTGACACTTAATGGCTAATGCAATGATATTAAGAGATAGGGCCTTTAAGAAGTGATTATGCCATGAGGGCGCTCTCTTATGAATGAGATTGAGGCCCTTACGAATGAGGCTTTCTGCAGTGTTTGGCTCTCTTGCCATTCTGTCTTCTGCATGTGAGGACACAGGGTTCTTCCCTCTAGAGACTGCAGCAATAAGGCACCATCTTGGAAGGGGAGAGCAGCCCTCACCAGACAAGGGAACCTGCCAGCACCTTGATCTTGGACTTCACAGCCTCCAGAACTGTGAGAAATAAATTTCTGTTCTTTATAAATTACTTAGTCTCAGCCTTTTGTTATAGCAGCACAAACAGACTAAGACAGTCTAGAAAATGCTTGACTCTGTCATTTACAGGCTGTGTAACCTCCGACAAGTTATTAAACCACTCTGAGCTGTTACACCTAAACAGGAATTGTATCTGCCCTCTCATGGTATTATTGTGCTGAATGACTGGGAAACACAGGTCAAGTGCTTAGCACATAATAAATGCCCTCTAAACGGGAGCTAATGTTTCTCATTTGATTATCTCGCTTGATGTGTAGACAGGCAGGTATTCCCATCACCCTCTTTCTAAAATAAAACATTTGACATACACAAAATATACAGTACATATGTTGTAAAAAATAATTAAAAAGACACCCATACAAGCACCACCCCATTTAAGAGTTAGTCCAGCTGCCCCGTACTTGACTTCCCCTGTATCCTCCCCCATCTCAGGACACCACTGTTCTCAATTCCGTGCTTATTATTCCCTTGCTCTCCCTGAGTTTTACTCTCAATCATATATTATAGGTTGAGTATCCCTAATCTAAAAATCCAAAATCTGAAATGCTCCAAAATCTAAAATGTTTTGAGTGCTGACACGTCGCTCAAAGGATACATTCATTGGAACGTTTTGGATTTTTGGGTTTTCAGATCAGCAATGCTCAACTTTTAAGTATATAAGTGCAAATATTCCAAAATCTGAAAAAATTTGAAATCTGAATCACTTCTTTCCCCAGACATTTCAGATAGGGGATACTTCTAAGTTTTTGCCTGTTTTTGAACTGTATATATTCTGATTTGCTTTTACTGTTTGAATTGTTTGAGATTCACCTGTGCTAATGCATGCAGCTACAGTTCTCCCTTCTCACTGCTGTATAGTATTCCACTTAAAAACATACAACTTAATCTTCTAATGTTGATGTGTAATTTGTACTTTTTGCTATTAAATGCTGCTGTGAACATCCTGTATGTCTCCTTGATGGAGTTTGGATGTGTTGTCCCCTCCAAAAGTCATGTGGAAATCTGATCCCCAATGTGGCAGTGTTGGAAACTGATTGGGTTATGGGGGCAGATCCCTCATGAATGGATTAGTGCTGTCCCTGGGCAAGGGGGATTAATGAGTGAGTTCTCGCTCTATTAGTTCCCGTGAGAGCTTGTTGCTTAAAAAGACCCTGGCACCTTCTCTCTCTTGCTCTCTCTCTCTCTCTTGCTTCCTGTCGCCATGTGATCTGCTTGTACCCCCTGGATCCCTGCCACTTTCTGCCATGAGTAGAAGCAGCCCGAGGCCCATGCCAGATGCAGCTGTCCCAGAATCACAAGCCAAATAAACCTCTTTCCTTTATAAATTACCCAGTCTCAGGTATCTCTGTTATAGCAACACAAAACAGACTAACACACTCCTAATGAACAGATGTAAGTTTCTGCAGGAGAACTGATGGTCCGTAGGTCATGTGAATGCTCAACTTTAAGAGGCGATGCCAACAGTCTTTCTCAGAGTTGTTGCACCAGTTTACACTCCTGGAAGCAGTGGGTGGCAGTCCTTGTTGCTCAGTCTACTTGGTGGATTTTGGCAGTTTTAAATTTTTGCCAAGCTGGTGGGTATAAGTTGTATCTCATGTGGTTTACGTTGTAAACCCCTGCCTGATTACTGACAAGGCTGAACATCGACCCTTAAATTGCTGGTCCATTCATCTTCCTCTTCTGTTCATTTTTGCTTACTTTTCTGTTGGGTTGTCTTTACTTCTTTTTTTTTTTTTTAAGTTCTTTATATATTTTAGATACGAACCTTTTGTAAGGATGTTGTAAATACCCTATCCCAGTTTAAGACTTGTCTTCTCACCTTCTTTATGGTAATTTTTGATGAATAAGTTCTTTTTAATGTAGTCAGAAGGATCAGTCTTTCCCCTGATGGGTTGTACTTTGGGGGTTTGAGAAATTCTCCTTCACCCTGAGGCCCTAAAGATATTTGTCTCCCAGTTTTATACCTGCCCGTCGCCTTTAAGCCTTTAAGCTCTCTGGGACTGATTCTGTGCTTGGAATAAGGTAGAAATCCAGTTTGTTTCCCCATAAGGATAACCTGTTCTCCCAGCACCACTCCTTAAATGGCCCCTCCTTTCTCCAGCGATCTAGAATGCCACGTCCATCATGCACCAAGGAGCATCCGTGCCTGGGTTCTTGGTTCTGTTCCACTGACTGATTTGTCTATTGCTGCCCAGTACCACACTGAACTTAATATATGCATTTAAGGCTTTTAGGTACCATTTAGCTACATTCTACATATTTTGATTTGTTTTATTTTGTTTTGGTCAGCTCTAATTATTTTCTAGTTTTTGTTCAGATTTCTCATTTAAGTCACAATTTATTTTGAAGTGCTTTAACACTTACATACACACACACTTTAAATTACCATTTTGTTACTGACTCCTAACTTAAATTCACCAAAATTAGAAAATAAGTCATTATGTGATTGCTCTTTAAAGGTAATGAGCCTTTTTTCTATGGCCTATGATGGTCCATTTTTATTCGGTGAAAATGAGGTATGTTCTTTAATTGGTGTTAGTTTTTATACACGTTTATTAGATCAAGCTTGTTATTTGTGTTATATCAAATCTTCTATATCTTATCTATTCCTTGTCTTACTGATCTGTCAATTTCTTAAAGTAGTAAAACCTCCCCCTTATAATAGTGAATTTTTTGATTTCTCTTTTTAGTATACAAGATTTTAATTTATATATTTTCATGCTATATTATTTGACACATACAAGTTTAGGATTATTATAGCTTCCTGGTGAACTGAACTTTTTATCTTCATCATTATCAGTATTATTAGATTTTATCTAATAATGCTTTTTGTGTGACTTTTTTCTGTGACTTTAATACAGCTGTAATAGTTTTCTTTCACTTAGTATTATTTTTCTCTATCCTTTACACTCAATCTTTCTTTTTTTTTTTTTTTTTAAAAGATGACTGGTAAGGGGATCGTAACCCTTGACTTGGTGTTGTCAGCACCACGCTCACCCAGTGAGCAAACCGGCCATCCCTATATAGGATCCGAACCCGGGGCCTTGGTGTTGTCAGCACCACGCTCACCCAGTGAGCAAACCGGCCATCCCTATATAGGATCCGAACCCGGGGCCTTGGTGTTGTCAGCACCGCACTCTCCCGAGTGAGCCACGGGGCTGGCCCTACACTCAATCTTTCTATGTCTTTATGTTTTTAAGGTTATCTCTCTTTTTTTTTTTTTCCCTTTTTTGTCTTTTTTCGTGACCGGCAACGGATCGCAACCCTCAGTGTCGCGCCCGTACTGGACCGGGACCGGCAATGGGATCGCAACCCTCGGTGTTGCGTCCGCACCTCTCTCAGCCAGCGAGTGGCTGGTCTGTATGTGGGATCCGAACCCTCGGCGGGAGCGCTGCCGCGCTCTCAAGCGGCGCACTGTAGCAGTGTGCCACCTGGCCGGCCTTTTTTTTTTTTTAAAGGTTATCTCTTATAAACAGATAAAAATCTTATTTTTTAATTGAGGCTGACAATCTCTGTCTTTGAAGTAACGAGCTTAGTCTACATTTTATTACTGACATATTTGGAGTTATTTCTACCTTCTTATTTTGTGCTTCCTATATCCCTGCCTTTTCTGATCGTTGTTTTCCTATGTGTTCTATTTTGTTTTCTTTTTTTAAAAAATTGTGGTAAGAACTCTTAACATGAGATCTACCCTCTTAATGCATTTTTAACTGTACAATAGTGTTGTTAACTACAGACACACTATTGTACAGCAAATCACTAGAACTTATTCATCTTGTATAAATGAAACTTTATACCTATTGAATAGCATGTCCTCATTCCCCTCCCCTCCAGCCTCTGGCAATACCATTCCACTCTCTGCTTCTATGAGTTTGACTATCTCTGATACCTCATATAAGTGGAATCACACAGTATTTGTACTTCTGTGACCAGCTTATTTCACTTAGCATAATGTATTCAAGGCTTATCCATGTTGTTGTAAAAGGCAGGATTTCCTTCTGTTCTTCAGGCTGAATAATATTCCAGTGTATGTATACACCACATTTTCTTTATCCACTCTTCCATCCATGGACATTTGAGTTGTCTCCATATCTTGGCTATTGTGAATAATGCTGCAAGGATGGTGGGAGTGAAAATATCTCTTTGGAATCTTGATTTAAATTTGTTTGAATGAATACCCAGAAGTGAGATTGCTGGACTATATGGTGGTTCTATTTATAGTTTTTGAGGAACCACCACATTGTTTTCCACGGCAGCTGCACCATTTTACATTCCAGTCACCAACAGGACACTAAGCTTCCTATTTTCCACCTTCTCGCCAACACTTCTTACCTTTCGTTTTTGGATAATAGCTATCCTAAAAGGTTTTGGTACGCATCTCTCTGATGATTAGTAATGTTGAGCATCTTTTCATATACCTGTTGGCCAGGGGAAATGAGGGCTTGCTATTCAATAGGGATAAAGTTTCATTTGTATGTTTTCTTTGGAGAAATCTCCTTGGCCCATTTTTTAAATTGGGTTATTTGAGATTTTTTTGGCAATACAGTTGTAGGTCTGATTCTTTTTCCTCCTCCTTATCTTCTTTTGGATTGCGTTTTAGAGTTATACTCTCTATTTTTATTATTTTAGAATTTACCCTAGAAATTACAGCATGCACACTTAATACAGTCTGATGCTACTTAATATATTTATCTTCTTCTCAAATTATGAAAGGATCTCAGAGTATCTACTCCAATCCCATGACTTATATGCTTCTGTGATCCAGTATTTAATTTTTTTCTTTTAATTTCTATTTTGTTTTTGGGTTTATTTGGCGGGGGGGGTTGCTGGCCAGTATGGGATTCAAACCCTTGACCTTGGTGTTATAACACGGAGCTCTGGGCCAGCCCGTGGCTCACGCGGGAGAGTGCGGTGCTGATAACACCAAGGCCACGGGTTCGGATCCTATATAGGGATGGCCGGTTGGCTCACTAGCTGAGTGTGGTGTTGACAACACCAAGCCAAGGGTTGAGATCCCCTTACCGGTCATCTTTTTTTTTTTTTTCCTTTTTGTCTTTTTTCGTGACCGGTAACAGGATCGCAACCCTCAGTGTCGCGCCCGTACCGCGACTGGCAACGGGATCGCAACCCTCGGTGTCGTGCCCGCACCGCGCTCAACCAATGAGCAGACCGGTCTCTATATGGGATCCGAACCCTCGGCGGGAGCACCACCACGCTCCCAAGCGCTGCACTCTACCGAGTGCGCCACCGGGCTGGCCCTCGGGTCATCTTTTTTAAAAAAAGAAATAAATAACACGGAGCTCTAACCATCTGAGCTAAACAGCCAGCCCAAATTCTCTTCTTTTTTTTTTTTTTTGTCTTTTGTCTTTTTCCGTGTCCGGCAACGGGTCGCA